TTATAAATTGATAATGCATTAAATGTATCAGCAAGTGCATGTGAAAGACGTTTGCATTTACCCTTTGGGATAGATTCTTGGGTAGCCATATGACCTATAAATAACATATCTCAAGTTGGGATTTTGAATCTAAATAATAACTTGGACCTATGAATAATTAAATTACGTTTTCATTTTGATGCGATCTTACATGGATCATGCATTAAATATAGACTTTAACATTTAGTACACTTGTTGATTAAACCTACAAAAAGAGACTAAAGTTTTGATACCAATTGTTAGCTTTGTAAGTGAGATAATGAGTCAAGAGAGGGTGTGAATTGGATTTTTTTCAAATTCTTCTTAAACAATGATTTCAATATAGTTGAATGAAAATTAAAACAATAAGTAACTTTGATGAAAATATAATGCAAACAATAGCAATTAATGAACCTAAAATCAAATACAAACAACAATAAATTATACGGAGATAAGGATAGAGAAATTAAACATAATGATTTATAAAGGTTCGATCATTCTCCATAATCTCTCTTGGTTGTTCACACCAAGGCTTCAATCCACTAATTGAAGAAAAATTCTTACAATATACAAACCTATATTGTACTAGATCTTTATTTTTTTTCAAAACTTAGATAGCAACCTCTACCCTTACAAATCAAGAGGATACATCACCTCTTGCTTACAAGATAACTAAATAATTTTTGCAAACTAAAATACCTCTCAAGGTTGAGTATTTTTCTAATAAAATACAAAGAAAATGATGAATGAAAACACAATAATATTTTGGATACAAGAAAAACAAAGGATAAAATTCAAATTTTTTAAGAAAAAATTTTGAATTTTTACTAGACACTCTGCAGTTGTCAAAAAAATTACACAATAGGCAACTTTGAAAATTTGTTATAATTCGTACATAGTGAATTAGGTGATGAACTTTAAATGGATAAAAAGCCCTTTAAGTCTAGTTTCTAAATTTTCAAACGGTTTACGATTTGAATTTGTATAACTCAAGTTATGATCAAATTAGTAAGTAGACTGAAAAATGAGAAATTATCATCCAGCATGAACAAAATCGATCCCCTCTAGAAGGGATCGATTGATTTTCAAATAGAATGCTTCCAGAACTGAATTTTCAAAAAAGAGATCAATCTTCCCACATAGGGGATCGATCACTCAGGCAAGGGATCAATCCCCTTAAGAAAGGGATCGATCAGTTCTGGGCGGGATCGTACCAACGACTATTTTTTTCATGCATTCAACGACTACTTTCACTTCCTAAGCTTTCCCAATGGCTACTTTTTTAATTCCTCTATAAATTGGACACTCCAACACACCAACAAGATTGATGAATCAAGAGAGCAAGAGTTAACAAGCCATGTTTTCATTTTCTCTTAGAATCAAGAGTTTTTAGAGCTTAAATTCAATATCTTTTATTTTTCTTGTATCCAAAATATTGTTGTGTTTTCATTCATCATTTTTTTTGTACTTTATTAGGTAAACACACAATCTTGAAAGGTATTTTGGTTTGCAAGAATTATTTAGTTATCTTGTAAGTAAAAGATGATGTATCTTCTTGATTTGTAAGGGTAGAGGTTACTATCTAAGCCTTGAGAAAAAAATAAAGATTTAATATTAAGTTGAAGAACATAATAGAAAGTTGAAAAGGAGAGAAGACATAAAAAAGAGTCTTGAGAACCCTTTACAACAATTAGAGATATATGACATTGATTTTTGCATTTCATGCATTGCATTCATTACATGTATCAAGTTGAGAACATGGCACTCATTATATTAATTCATTCCATGCATCATGCATATTTGAAAAGAAAGAAAAATTAAAGTTTGAGTTTTGAAATTGAATTTGAAAATTTTAAAAAAAAATTTCATTCATTGTATGCATTCATTGCATATGCTTGGAAGAAAAGAAGATAGTAGATGTTAAAATAATTTTGAGAAAAGACATTGGAAGATGGTCAATGGTGAACTGGATGAGATAAAAAAGATTCATTTTAAGGTAAGATTTTTTTTTTTAAAGTTTAATGCCTATATTAAAAAAGAGTTTTTGTTCCAAAAATAATAATGATTTATAATACCTCAAAGCATTATCTTAAAAACCCTAAATATCTCATTTTATTTTTTTAAAATTTTAAAGCCTCCGATGAAAAAACATTTTACTTTTTGAAAGTTTTAAGCCTTCGGTAGGAGGGAATCATTTTATTTTTTGAAAATTTTAAAATCTTTGATGAGAAAGGACATTTTTTTTTTGAAAATTTTAAAGTCTCTATTGGTATTATATATTTTGTAAAAAAAAAAAAAAAACTTGAAAGTTAAAATTAATACTATTTATGATGAGCAGATGTTAAGACAATTGATTGCTTATGCTTGGCAGCTGATGGAGCGATCGATTGCTCTTATTTATTTCATTTCAAAATTGATACGATCGTGTTTAAAATTATCAAAAATTATTTAGAAGGGATAATTCTATTATCTTTTCTCCAAAGGTAGTTGTTATGTAATAGCTAACAATAGTTCACACGTGACTCTGAGCAACGCGGTTGCAATGTGAAGATGTCTAATTATCAGATAGAGTACAATTATTGAAAATCTAACAATTGTGTTATCTTTTCTCCAAAGTAGTTGTTATGTCATAGTCGACAATGGTACATCACGTCTTTTTAAGGCATATGAAGATGTGTAATTATTATCTAGACGTACAATTATTGACAATTTTCTGTCGTTATGTAATAATCGAAATTTTATTTGCCTCTTCGTAGGTAGGTTTTTAAATGCGAAAAAAGGTTTTAATTACTGAAAATGTGAAGTGATATATCTGATGTCATCCATTCACGTGTCATTATACATAAGCTGGGTATGTGTCGCCCACTCTAATATTTATAGGTGATCAGATACATCACTCTTTTATCGTGTCGGCCACTCTAATAGTTATAGGTGATCAGATACATCACTCTTTTATCACCACCAAATTTCACAAGCACAGCCACAATTCTGCTTTCCACGTTGGCTGGTAAATCTTAGGCAAAATGACAATTCATTCTTCAAGAGGTACTATTATCTTTCTCTTCAATTAATTCATTATAATGTATTGTGTATCCCATGTTTTGGTCCAGGTAATGGATACAGATAACGACAGCATTACAATAGACAACGATTCAGATGAAACCGAAATGTCGCCGCCGCCTGTGCTGGAGCATTCAATTATGAGTTCGATCACTCATAATTCATACATAGTAAATTAGATAATAAACTTTAAATGGATAAAAAATTTTAAATTTAATTTTTAAACTTTCAAATGATTTACGATTTAAATTTTTATAACTTAAATTACGATCAAATTAATAATTAAATTAAAAAATAAGAAATTATCATCCAGCATGAATAGGATCGATCCCTTCTAGAAGGGATCGATTGATTTTCAAACAGAATGCTCTCAGAACTAAATTTTCAAAAAAAAGATCAATCTTCTCACATAAGAGATCAATCATTCAGGCAAAGGATCGATCCTCTCAAGAAAGGATCGATCGGTTCTGGACGGGATCGCACCAATGATTATTTTTTTCATGCATTCAACAACTACTTTCATTTCCTAAGCTTTCTCAACGGTTATTTTATTAATTCCTCTATAAATTAGACACTTCAACACACTAACAAGATTGATGAATCAAGAGAGTAAGAGTTAACAAGTCATATTTTCATTTTTTTAGAAAAAATTTTTAAAGCTTAAATTCAATATCTTTTGTTTTTCTTATATCTAAAATATTATTGTATTTTCATTCATAATTTTTTTATACTTTATTAGGTAAACACTCAACCTTGAAAAGTATTTTGATTTGTAAGAATTATTTAGTTATCTTGTAAGTAAGAGATGATGTATCTTCTTAATTTGTAAGCGTAAAAATTGCTATCTAGACCTTGAAAAAAAAATATAGATTTAATACTAAATTGAAGAACATAATAGAAAGTTGAAAAAGAGAGAAGACATAAAAAAGAGTCTTGAGAACCCTTTACAACAATTAGAGATATATGACATTGATTTTTGCATTTCATGCATTGCATTCATTACATGTATCAAGTTGAGAACATGGCATTCATTATATTAATTCATTCCATGCATCATGCATATTTGAAAAGAAAGAAAAATTAAAATTTGAGTTTTGAAATTGAATTTGAAAATTTTAAAAAAATTTTTTATTCATTGTATGCATTTCATTGTATATACTTGAAAGAAAAGAAGATAGTAGATGTTAAAATAATTTTGAGAAAAAATATTAAAAGATGGTCAATGGTGAACTGAATGAGATAAAAAAAATTCATTTTAAGGTAAGATTTTTTATTTTAAGTTTAATGCCTATATTAAGATAGAGTTTTTGTTCCAAAGATGATAATGATTTATAATACCTCAAAACATTATCTTAAAAACCCTAAATATCTCATTTTATTTTTTTAAAATTTTAAAGCCTCCGATGAAAAAACATTTTACTTTTTGAAAGTTTTAAACCTTCGGTGGGAGGGAATCATTTTTTTTTTGAAAATTTTAAAATCTTTGATAAAAAAGAACATTTTATTTTTTGAAAATTTTAAAGCCTCTATTGATACTATATATTTTGTAAAAAAAAATAAACTTGAAAGTCAAAATTAATACTATTTATGATGAGCAGATGTTAAGACAATTGATCGCTTATGCTTGGCAGCTGATGGAGCGATCGATTGCTCTTATTTATTTCATTTCAAAATTGATACGATCGTGTTTAAAATTATCAAAAATTATTTAGAAGGGATAATTCTATTATCTTTTCTCCAAAGGTAGTTGTTATGTAATAGCTAACAATAGTTCACACGTGACTCTGAGCAACGCGGTTGCCATGTGAAGATGTCTAATTATCGATAGAGTACAATTAGTGAAAATCTGACAATTGTGTTATCTTTTCTCCAAAGTAGTTGTTCTTATGTCATAGTCGACAATGGTACATCACGTCTTTTTAAGGCATATGAAGATGTGTAATTATTATATAGACGTACAATTATTGACAACTTTCTGTCGTTATGTAATAATCGAAATTTTATTTGCCTCTTCGTAGGTAGGTTTTTAAATGCGAAAAAAGGTTTTAATTACTGAAAATGTGAAGTGATATATCTGATGTCATCCATTCATGTGTCATTATACATAAGCTGGGTATGTGTCGCCCACTCTAATATTTATAGGTGATTAGATACATCACTCTTTTATCACCACCAAATTTCACAAGCACAGCCACAATTCTGCTTTCCACTTTGGCTGGTAAATCTTAGGCAAAATGACAATTCATTCTTCAAGAGGTACTATTATCTTTCTCTTCAATTAATTCATTATAACGTATTGTGTATCCCATGTTTTGGTCCAGGTAATGGATACAGATAACGACAGCAATACAATTGACAACGACTCAGATGAAACCGAAATGTCGTCGCCGCCTGTGCCGGAGCATTCAATTATGAGTTCGAGTATGAGCATACCATCTTCCGAACAGGTAATTGAAAAGCCATGCTGTATATGAACCATAAGTAACCTTCGTTTTGCTCTGCATCGTATAAATTAAGTGAAGCAAGGTTTATTTGGGTAAAATTCCGATTGTAAAAAGTTATTTGAATATAATAAAAGTATAAGATTTATTTAAAATTTAAAATAATTTAAGAATATTTTTAATATTTTAGTAGCTTTGACCCTACTTGGTTCATGATAAATTTAGGTGAAAAAAATGGAATTCATTTTAATTCTACAAATGAGATTGATTTATTTTAATGATTGTTTGATACATTGACATGCAGTGGAGTATTTTAATTCTACAAATGAGATTAATTTAATGATACATGTCTTATTTGTTTTTTAAATAAATTTTTTAAATATATAAAATAACATGTCATTATTTTAATTTTGTTTGTGAAATTAGAGTATCAATGTATAAAATATTTCAAACTTTATTTTTTAAACACAATTACATATTACATAAATTTAAAACTTTATTTTATATTTAATATGCTTAAAAATATTTTCTTAAATAATATACAACATATACATATATTCTATCTCGATGCTCCCTAAATTTTAGTTTTTACTTTATCCTCGTGCAGAGGGACGCAAAGCTTAATTAATTTTATACGAATATAATTCATTTTCAAATATATAAGTATAAATTATTTTTTAATTTTTTATTGTATTCAAGACAAATGTTCCGTTCTTTTTTTTTTTTTTTGGAGTGACGGGGAGGGGTGGTTCGAAGCCGAGCCCTGATGTCCGTTTGGGGATCCTTACCACTCAAGCAACGGAGGCGGGGACTTGGGTGGCCAGGTTTTTAAATGCCAAAATTTTAATAGAAAGCAGCAAATACTAAGCACCAGACAATAAAAGGTTTTAATTATTGAAGATGTGAAGTAATATATCTGATGTCAGTCATTCATATGTCGTTATACATAGCCTGGGTATGGGTCGTCCACTCTGGTATCTATAGGTGATCACACAACACCAAATTTCACGAGCACAGCTTTGCAGTAACGATTCTGCTTTCCACTTTGGCTGGTAAAAATCTTTAAGGTTGGTAAAAATTTTAACGTTACATGTAATTTATAAGATAATAGATAAGGCAAGGTAATGATTATTTTAAATTATATTTAATTTATATTTTAAAAATAAAATTATAATGAAAATAATATTTTTTAGTATAAAATAATTTAATTTTTTAAAAATAAAAATAATTATTTTTAATTTATGGGATTTAATATATTTTTATCATATTTTTAAAAATTAAATTAATAATTTAAATTATATAAATGTTAAAAAATAATTTCTATTAAAAATTAATTATTTTATTTTAATTTTTACATTTATCAAATATAAAATAAGATAATATTATTTAATTAAATTTTATTTATAATATTATTTTATTATATTATATTGTAATTTTATATATTAAATATCGCCTAAAAACCTTATATTTCTTTTTCAATTAATTTATATAATAATGTAATGTGTATCCTATGTTTTTGTGCAGGTAATGGCTACAGCCGTTGACTTCAGCAATACAATAGGCAACAAGAAAACTCCAAGGGGAGGTTCGGCTCCAACGGTTAGGCAAGTGCCTCGTTCGGCTCGGCGTAATCCATTTCCCAGCAAGGTAATTGAAATGCCCTGCTGTATACGAACCACAAATAACTGCTGTATCAGCAAGTGCATGTGAAAGACGTTTGCATTTACCCTTTGGGACAGATTCTTGGGTAGCCATATGACCTATAAATAACATATCTGAAGTCGGGATTCCGAATCTAAATAATAACTTGGACCTATGAATAATTAAATTACGTTTTCATTTTGATGCGATCTTACATGGATCATGCATTAAATATAGACTTTAACATTTAGTACACTTGTTGATTGCGTGGACCTTGCATTAAATACTTTTGGGTGATCATATGGCCTATCTGTAACAATATATCAAAAGAATCCTATAAAAGTATTTTGGACACTTAACATGAATGATACTTGTTCAATATATATAAAAAAAAAGATTTTATGAATTATTGAAGATATTTTGATAGATAAAAATATAAAAAAAAAAAGCACATAATTTCTAAAAAACCTTAGCAAAAGTATTTGGAAGATTCTAAGTATTGTTTTTAAAATATCAATTAATTTTTTAATTCCTGAAGCTATCAAAGATTGAAACCCAAATTATTAAATTAATTCTCAATAATCATATCGATATAAAATAAAAATAAAATAAAGAAAATAAAGAAGTAGAAAATATATTTATCATCTATAACTCATATATTTAAGAAAAACTTATAATTGTTGTATTGTTTTCTTTTTTTGATTGTTTAAATGTTTTCAAAAAACTTTTAATTTAAAATATATTTTAAAATGTATACTTTTAATCCAAAAAATAATGGCACTTGCAATGCAATAAGAACAGCTGACAATGACAATTTAACATTCATCTAATACACAAACTTTAGTAATTTAACGAGAATTACTTAATAAATAAATTAAAATTAATTAGCTATGCGGAAAGGTGAATTTTAATATATATGTAGCAGGATAAGGATATTAATGAGTAGAGTATGAAGTGAGTGAAGCATTCTCTATCTAACTTCTTAGATTTTTATATTACACATATTTGTATTTATATTCATATTTAACGAGTATTTTAAATTTATTTTTATTACTATCTTTATAGGTATATAATAAGTATGAATAATTCTCGTATTTAAAAAAATTAAAATTTATTTTTTAATTTTTATCTTATATATTTACGTAAATTTTTATAAAATATATATTAATATATTTTTTAAAATAAAAATGTATTAATTTTAATTAATTTAAAAAAATATTTTATGTTATTTAATAAAAAAATCTATTAACTAAATATATATAAATAAATATGTAAGGTATAAGTATATGATCAATGTTATATTACCTGTTATCGTTTTCATATTTCATAAAAATTTAAAATTATATATATTCACATTATCCTCGTAATATAATATCTATTTTTATATCTATTTTTATTCAAATAAAAAATTAAAAAAATCATTAAATATGAATTAAATTAACATTCATCCGACAACTCTGCGCATGCAACCTTTGTACTTCTGCGGCATAAGAAAACATATGTTCGGTTGTTCGGATCTTGACTTTTTGTAATAAAAAAAATTAAAAAATTGACAATCACATCACTTAAAAAATTTAAACAATTACTTAATAAAAATAATGCTTAAATCCGTGACTCTGAAGAATGCGGTAGACATGAAAGGTATTGCTATGTCATAATCCAAATTTTATTTGCGTTTTGGTAGTTAGGTTTTTAAATGCGAAATTTTTGATTGAAAACTGCGAATAAAAGGTTTTAATTATTGAAAATGTGAAGTAATATATCCGATGTCATTCATTCCTATGGCATTATACATAAGCTGGGTATGGGTCGCCCACTCCAATATTTATAGGTGATCAGATACATCACTCTTTTATCACCGCCAAATTTCACAAGCACAGCCACGATTCTGCTTTCCACTTCGGCTGGTATTTCTTAAACAAAACTACCATTCATTCTTTTCTTAGTAAACAAATTACAATTCATTCTTCAACAGGTGCTGTTATCTTTCTCTTCAATTAATTCATAATAATGTATTGTATATCCCATGTTTTTGGGCAGGTAATGGCTACAGGTGATGACGACAGCATTACAGTAGACAACGACTTAGATGAAACTGAAATGTCGCTGCCGCCTGTGCTGGAGCAAAGTTCGAGTATGAGTAGACCATCTTGCGAACAGGTAATTGAAAAGCCATGCTGTATATGAACCACGAGTTTGCTCTGCATCGTATAAATTAATTAATTATGTGAAGCAAGGTTTATTTGGGTAAAATTTCGATTGTAAAAAATTACTTGAATATAATAAAAGTATAAGATTTATTTAAAATTTAAAATAATTTAAGAATATTTTTAGTATTTTAGGGCTTTGATCCTATTTGGTTCATGATAAATTTAGGTGAAAAGAATGAAATTTATTAAATTTTAAAAAATTCTTTGATACATTAACAGTGAAATATTTTAATTCTACAAATAAGATTAATTTAGTATTACATGTCCTATTTGTTTTTTAAATAAATTTTTTAAATATATAAAAAAACATATATCATTATTTTAATTCTATTTGTGAAATTAAAATATGTCAATGTATAAAATATATCAAACTTCATTTTTTAAACACAATTACTTATTTACATAAATTTAAAACTTTATTTTATATTTAATATGCTTTAAAATATTTTCTTAAATAATATACAGCATATACATATATTCTATCTCGATGCTCCCTAAATTTTATTTTTTACTTTATCCTCGTGCAGAAGGACGCAAAGCTTAATTAATTTTATAAGAATATAATTCATCTTCAAATATATAAATATAGATTATTTTTTAATTTTTTATTGTATATAAGACAAATGTTCGGTTTTTTTTGTTTTCTGGAGTGACTGGGGGGTTGGTTCGAATCTGAGCCCTGATGTCCCTTCGGCCCTCCTTACCACCCAAGCTATGGAGGCAGGAAGCCGGGCCGTCACATGCAAAACATTTAATAGAAAGTAGCAAATATTAGCTCCACAGAGTAAAAGGTTTTAATTATTGAAAATGTGAAGTAACATATCTGATGTCAGTCATTCATTTTTTTATTATATTTTTTATGAGATTAAATTTATATATTTTAATTTATGAGATTAAATTTATATTTTTAAAAATTAAATAAATAATTTTATTTTAATTTTTATATTCATTAAATATAAGATAATATAGTATTATTTAATTAAATCTTGATAATAATATTATTTTATCTTATTTTATTTTATTATAATTTTATATATCAAATATCACCTAAAAACCTTATATTTCTCTTCAATTAATAAATAATAATGTAAGGTATGTCCGATGTTTTTGTGCAGATAATGGCTACAGACGGTGACTCCAGCATTACAACAGACAACATGAAACCTCCAAGGCATGGTTCGGCTCCAAAGGTTAGGCAAGTGCCTTTTTCGGCTCGGCGTAATCCATTTCCCAGCAAGGTAATTGAAATGCCCTGCTGTATACGAACCACAAATAACTTTCATTACGCTCACCCAAATTAGCTTCATGTATGCAGTGTCGGATGTTAATAATCGATTTCGAGGGAGTAAATTAATATATATTAAATTTAAAATTTTTTCATAGAAAAAAGTAAATCCATTCATGTGTCATTATACATAAGCTGGGTATGTGTCGCCCACTCTAATATTTATAGGTGATCAGATACATCACTCTTTTATCACCACCAAATTTCACAAGCATAGCCACAATTCTGCTTTCCACTTTGGCTGGTAAATCTTAGGCAAAATGACAATTCATTCTTCAAGAGGTACTATTATCTTTCTCTTCAATTAATTCATTATAATGTATTGTGTATCCCATGTTTTGGTCCAGGTAATGGATACAGATAACGACAGCATTTCAATAGACAACGACTCAGATGAAACCGAAATGTCGCCGCCGCCTGTGCTGGAGCATTCAATTAGGAGTTCGAGTATGAGCATACCATCTTTCGAACAGGTAAATTGAAAAGCCATGCTGTATATGAACCACGAGTTTGCTCTGCATCGTATAAATTAATTAATTATGTGAAGCAAGGTTTATTTGGGTAAAATTTCGATTGTAAAAAATTACTTGAATATAATAAAAATATAAGATTTATTTAAAATTTAAAATAATTTAAGAATATTTTTAGTATTTTAGTGGCTTTAACCCTACTTGGTTCATGATAAATTTAGGTGAAAAGAATGAAATTTATTAAATTTTAAAATATTATTTGATACATTAACAGTGAAATATTTTAATTCTACAAATAAGATTAATTTAGTATTACATGTCCTATTTGTTTTTTAAATAAATTTTTTAAATATATAAAAAAACATATATCATTATTTTAATTCTATTTGTGAAATTAAAATGTCAATGTATAAAATATTTCAAACTTCAGTTTTTAAACACAATTACTTATTTACATAAATTTAAAACTTTATTTTATATTTAATATGCTTTAAAATATTTTCTTAAATAATATACAACATATACATATATTCTATCTCGATGCTCCCTAAATTTTAGTTTTTACTTTATCCTCGTGCCGAGGGACGCAAAGCTTAATTAATTTTATACGAATATAATTCATTTTCAAATATATAAGTATAAATTATTTTTTAATTTTTTATTGTATTCAAGACAAATGTTCCGTTCTTTTTCTTTTTTTTTTGGGAGTGACGGGGAGGGGTGGTTCGAAGCTGAGCCCTGATGTCCGTTTGGGGCTCCTTACCACTCAAGCAACGGAGGCGGGGACTTGGGTGGCCAGGTTTTTAAATGCCAAAAATTTAATAGAAAGCAGCAAATACTAAGCACCAGACAATAAAAGGTTTTAATTATTGAAGATGTGAAGTAATATATCTGATGTCAGTCATTCATATGTCGTTATACATAGCCTGGGTATGGGTCGTCCACTCTGGTATCTATAGGTGATCACACAACACCAAATTTCACGAGCACAGCTTTGCAGTCACGATTCTGCTTTCCACTTTGGCTGGTAAAAATCTTTTAAGGTTGGTAAAAATTTTAACGTTACATGTAATTTATAAGATAATAGATAAGGCAAGATAATGATTATTTTAAATTATATTTAATTTATATTTTAAAAATAAAATTATAATGAAAATAATATTTTTTAGTATAAAATAATTTAATTTTTTAAAAATAAAAATAATTATTTTTAATTTATGAGATAATAAATATTTTTATATATTTTTAAAAATTAAATTAATAATTTAAATTATATAAATGTTAAAAAATAATTTCTATTAAAAATTAATTATTTTATTTTAATTTTTACATTTTATCAAATATAAATAAGATAATAATTTATAAATTAAATTTTATTTATAATAATTTTATTTTTATTTTAATTATTATTCCTTCAATGAATTATATATAATGTAAATATCGCCTAAAAACCTTATATTTCTTTTCAATGAATTTATATAATAATGTAATGTGTATCCTATGTTTTTGTGCAGGTAATGCCTACAGCCGTTGACTTCAGCAATACAATAGGCAACAAGAAAACTCCAAAGCGAGGTTCGGCTCCAACGGTTAGGCAAGTGCCTCGTTCGGCTCGGCGTAATCCATTTCCCAGCAAGGTAATTGAAATGCCCTGCTGTATACGAACCACAAATAACTGCTGTATCAGCAAGTGCATGTGAAAGACGTTTGCATTTACCCTTTGGGACAGATTCTTGGGTAGCCATATGACCTATAAATAACATATCTGAAGTCGGGATTCCGAATCTAAATAATAACTTGGACCTATGAATAATTAAATTACGTTTTCATTTTGATGCGATCTTACATGGATCATGCATTAAATATAGACTTTAACATTTAGTACACTTGTTGATTACGTGGACCTTGCATTAAATACTTTTGGGTGATCATATGGCCTATCTGTAACAATATGTCAAAAGAATCCTATAAAAGTATTTTGGACACTTAACATGAATGATACTTGTTCAATATATATATAAAAAAAGATTTTATGAATTATTGAAGATATTTTGATAGATAAAAATATAAAAAAAAGCACATAAGTTCTAAAAAACCTTAGCAAAAGTAATATATCTGATGTCATTCATTCCTATGGCATTATACATAAGCTGGGTATGGGTCGCCCACTCCAATATTTATAGGTGATCAGATACATCACTCTTTTATCACCACCAAATTTCACAAGCACAGCCACGATTCTGCTTTCCACTTCGGCTGGTATTTCTTAAACAAAACTACCATTCATCTTTTCTTAGTAAACAAATTACAATTCATTCTTCAACAGGTGCTGTTATCTTTCTCTTCAATTAATTCATAATAATGTATTGTATATCCCATGTTTTTGTGCAGGTAATGGCTACAGGTGATGACGACAGCATTACAGCAGACAACGACTTAGATGAAACTGAAATGTCGCTGCCGCCTGTGCTGGAGCAAAGTTCGAGTATGAGTAGACCATCTTGCGAACAGGTAATTGAAAAGCCATACTGTATATGAACCACGAGTTTGCTCTGCATCGTATAAATTAATTCATAATAATGTATTGTATATCCCATGTTTTTGTGCAGGTAATGGCTACAGGTGATGACGACAGCATTACAGCAGACAACGACTTAGATGAAACTGAAATGTCGCTGCCGCCTGTGCTGGAGCAAAGTTCGAGTATGAGTAGACCATCTTGCGAACAGGTAATTGAAAAGCCATACTGTACATGAATCACGAGTTTGCTCTGCATCGTATAAATTAATTAATTATGTGAAGCAAGGTTTATTTGGGTAAAATTTCGATTGTAAAAAATTACTTGAATATAATAAAAGTATAAGATTTATTTAAAATTTAAAATAATTTAAGAATATTTTTAGTATTTTAGTGGCTTTGACCCTACTTGGTTCATGATAAATTTAGGTGAAAAGAATGAAATTTATTAAATTTTAAAAAATTATTTGACACATTAACAGTGAAATATTTTAATTATACAAATAAGATTAATTTAGTATTACATGTCCTATTTTTTTTTAAATAAATTTTTTAAATATATAAAAAAACATATATCATTATTTTAATTCTATTTGTGAAATTAAAAAATGTATAAAATATTTCAAACTTCATTTTTTAAACACAATTACTTATTTACATAAATTTAAAACTTTATTTTATATTTAATATGCTTTAAAATATTTTCTTAAATAATATACAGCATATACATATATTCTATCTCGATGCTCCCTAAATTTTATTTTTTACTTTATCCTCGTGCAGAAGGACGCAAAGCTTAATTAATTTTATAAGAATATAATTCATCTTCAAATATATAAATATAGATTATTTTTTAATTTTTTATTGTATATAAGACAAATGTTCGGTTTTTTTTGTTTTTTGGAGTGACTGGGGGGTTGGTTCGAACCCGAGCCCTGATGTCCCTTCGGCCCTCCTTACCACCCAAGCTATGGAGGCGGGAAGCCGGGCCTTCACATGCAAAATATTTAATAGAAAGTAGCAAATATTAAATTGAAAGTAGCAAATATTATTGAAAATGTGAAGTAACATATCTGATGTCAGTCATTCATTTTTTTATTATATTTTTTATGAGATTAAATTTATATATTTTAATTTATGAGATTAAATTTATATTTTTATTATATTTAATAGAAAGTAGCAAATATTAAATTGAAAGTAGCAAATATTATTGAAAATGTGAAGTAACATATCTGATGTCAGTCATTCATTTTTTTATTATATTTTTTATGAGATTAAATTTATATATTTTAATTTATGAGATTAAATTTATATTTTTATTATATTTTTAAAAATTAAATAAATAATTTTATTTTAATTTTTATATTTATTAAATATAAGATAATATAGTATTATTTAATTAAATCTTGATAATAATATTATTTTATCTTATTTTATTTTATTATAATTTTATATATCAAATATCACCTAAAAACCTTATATTTCTCTTCAATTAATAAATAATAATGTAAGGTATGTCCGATGTTTTTGTGCAGATAATGGCTACAGACGGTGACTTCAGCGATACAATAGACAACATGAAAACTCCAAGGCATGGTTCGGCTCCAACGGTTAGGCAAGTGCCTTTTTCGGCTCGGCTTAATCCATTTCCCAGCAAGGTAATTGAAATGCCCTGCTGCATACGAACCACAAGTAACTTTCACTTCGTTCAACTAAAACAGTTGTTAATAATTGATTAAGAGGGAGTAAATTAATATATATTAAATTTAAAATTTTTTTCATAGAATACATTGTATTATATTATTAATATGCAAGTAATATATTAACAAAATATACATGTTTGCCAAATTACAGACTTTATCAATTATAAATTAATGTATAAAAAAATAATCATTAAATAAATAACTTCATTTAAAATTGTGAATCGTTCTTCCAATTGTGAGTGATTTTCTTTTTTAAAAAGTATAAGTAATTAATTGTTAAACAATATATTTCTTTCATAGCATGTGCGCTTACAATGCAAATTTATTGTAATTATTTAAAGGATAATATTATTTGCACACTCCACATGTACATCTTATGCTTGTTATTTTAGGCATGATAAAAAAGTCGGTTACAGGTGTGTCAAATGTGCAAATAATATTTTATTATTTAAATTTATCAACAAAGTATCTCACGCCCCTTTGAACACAGGAGATTGCAAGTGAAATAGGTAATATTTTTCATGAACCCCAAACGACAAGTTTAGAGGTGGATCTCCGTCAACTTTTTGAGCCGTCCTCCGACGCAAATCGCTGGACTACTCTTTACAAAGTGCCTCATAGACTACGTCAAGTAAATCCAAAGGCCTATGAGCCCAATGTGATTTCAATCGGTCCCCGTCACCATGGTAAGCAACACTTGAAGGCAACGGAAGTTATCAAAAGCCGTTTGTTCAGTAGAATGATTAAGGATAGCAAGCTTGAGCCCAAAGATTTTGTAGAGACCATGAAACCAATAGAAAAGCAAGTTCGTGAATGCTATGAAGAACCTTTAGATCACATTGATTCGGACACATTTGTGAAAATGATGATCCTTGATGGATGCTTTATTGTTCAGCTATTTCAAGGTAATTATCCAAGTGAGTATCCTTTTAACCTGAACGGGTTTCTAACCGAGGTAAATCATGATTTGTTGCTACTCGAAAATCAGCTTCCTTTCTTTGTGCTTTCCGAGTTGTATGGCATGATCAACAAGTCAAGTGGTGAAAGAGATAAGTTTACTGAATTGGCTCTTTCTTGCCTTTCAAAAGTGATACCAGGACCAAAGATATTTCCTGATAAAAAGTGTCCCATTTCTGCGAAAGATACCAAGCATCTACTGAGCTTAGTACATGATAATTGGCTTCCTTCATCTCAAGGAATAAAGCAACACAAGCATTTTAAAGCAAAAGCAGACCGATGCTGTTGGATATGCTGCGCAAGAAAGCGGGAAGAAAAAGACCGACGTCTAAGGAAGAACATGCGCTGTGCAACGGATCTGAAAGCGGCAGGAATCAGTTTCTCGGAAAATAATGAGAAAAATCTACATAGCTTGTTCGAGATAAAATTTAAAAATAAGAAACTGAAGATTCCAAAGTTAAGCATTGAACATTGTACAGACCGTCTCTTGCGTAATTTCATTGCCTACGAACAATTCATCCCAAGTTCTGAACCAACTTACGTTTGTGATTATGTGGTGTTCATGCATAACCTCATCAACTCAGGCAAGGATGTGAAGTTTCTCCGTCACAATGGAATTTTTGATAATTGCTTAGGCGATGATGAAGCAGTTGCCAAAATGTTTAACAAACTTGGTGATTGTACTTACTCATCCGAAGATTTCTACTATGCTGAGATTTTTTATAAGGTGGGGAAGCGTCGCCGGAGACGATGTATCACTCTACAATTAATAATAAAATTGGCTGTACTGGTAAGTCGGTTTCTTTGATATAAATGGTTTTAGATTCAAATCTTTTAACCAATGGCCTCTTGTTGGTTTTAATGCCGAATGTACCACCCCTATGAAGTACGATTGTGATAATGTGTAAGTTTGAGATTTGTCGGTTAGACATAAAAAAGTTTTCACTAATATATTTTTATTAAATATAATTGGTTATCTAATTGAATATTTTTTTTTAAGTTACCTCTCAAAATTAAGTTTGAGATTATGATTAAATATAGGGAATATATCGGTATCTTCATAATGCATGTCCAAGAATGGTACCAGTTAATAATTTATGTTATTATTCATTGCCTTAATTAAAAATTTAAACTGATTCTTTACTTAATTAATTCTTTTATAATCTTATTTTTTGTTTAAAATATCTAAAATTTTCTAGAGTTATTTATTTGTTTATTGGGTTTTATCCAATTCAATGGACTATAGTTAAAATGGTTAAAATTCAAAGGTAAAATGAAAAAAAAAAAATACACTGTCGAAATTTAAAGGTCTAAAAACTTATATAAAACTTGGAAGGAAAAGTCAAAAGGGGTAAAAAAAGACTTTAAACAAGTAATTTTCTTGAATACAAATTAATATTGTAAGCATTAACTAAAAATTATTGTGTGAAAATTAGAATATTATACATTAATTGGAGAGATCAAGAATATCTGTTTGGATAATCATCAAGAATTCGCAAAAGCAAAATAATTCTTGAAGTGACTATAGTCTTTCTCTTTGTTTTTCTCTCGTTAATAGTTTATCAATGGGTAATTACTGTATATGAAAAGTGAATAGGAGACTTTAACTTTATTAATTAAATAATCTTAATAATTTTCTTATTAAAAGTTTACCAAGTTAAATGCCTACACAATTGCTATATGACACCAACTAGTAAGATGTGTAAAACTCATACTTAAATAATCATATTAAATTAATTGAGCTTTCATGCTTTTCTTGTATTATGACTAAATTTATCAATCGATTTTATTAAATTAAAATCATTAATTAATAGTAGTCTATTTACAAAAAATTCTAACAAATACTACATGTATGGTATTAATTTTCAAAAGGTAGAAGGCCATGGCCTCTTTTAACCCTCTAGCTCCGACCCTAGTGTGGCTTGGATATCACAGTATAAAGAAGACAAATCTATCATGGAGGTATGGGCAAACAAGGGCAATGCTTGGTCTGATACTAACTAATTTAGAGATAAAACTAAATTAAACTCTTAAATGTCATTACGAAATTTGCATAAAAACTATTTTACATACTAATTTTGAATGTAATTAGTATTCAAATGAGCCAAAGCCCAGTTTCTATCTCATTCCCATCGAATATGAAGTATTGGTCAAGTTAAAAGATGGTGAATAAAGTAAGAGCACGTGCAAGGAAGTCTATCTAATGCATGTAGAAAAAAACCAATAAAAACTAAACGAGAATCTAAGAGGTATGAATTGAATAATTTTGTTCAAACACTACAAGAAATCTCATTCAATTTTTTATAAAAAATTATTCAAGGCATCTTTTGGCTAAAAACTCTTGAATAATCCCCTCATTAAAAATGAAAAAGATTATTGAAGGCGTTTTTGATAAAAAAAATTTCCTTCAATAATCTCCTTATAAAAAATAGAGGGGATTATTGAAAGTATTTTTAAGTCAAAAACACATTCAATAATCTCTTATAAAAAATTGAAAGGGATTATTCAAGGCGTTTTTAGCTAGAAATACTTTCAATAACCCAAAAATGCCTTCAATAATCCCCTATAAAAAATTCAAAGGGATTATTCAAAGAATTTTTTAGGTTAAAATGTCTTGAATAATCCTTTTATTAGAAATGAATGAGATTATTAAAGGTTTTTTTGATAGAAAACGCTTTCAATAATCTCATCATAAAAAATATAGGAAATTATTGAAGGCGTTTTTGGTCTGAAACGCCTTCAATAATCTCTTTATAAAAAATGGAGTGGATTATTAAAAGTAATTTTGGTAAAAAATATATTCAATAATCTCTTCATTAAAACTTAAGAGGATTATTCAAAGAAGAAATTAGTGGCGTTTTCTAAGAAAATGCCGTTAATTTTCCCATAAAATTTGAACTTGTGTCCAATTTCCTTTCCTTTCCCAAGCTTTTTTACTTCTTTACATACCCAGGCATTTCCTTTTTCAATTTGTCATTCATCTACTGCTGTTCATCTGCAGCCATTCTTAAGCTAAGGCACCTATAAACCTAAAAGCCATGGGCGAGAAAATAACCCAAATCATGTTTGAGACCTTCCATGCTCCTGTCATGTTGCTATCCAGGTTGTTTTCTCCCTCTATGCCATGTTGTTAAAAGCTCAAATACATTAAAAAAACGAGTCTTTCATTTTTTTTTTTTTTGGGTTTTCAAACTTGAGCTAGTGTTTATCTTCATAATCTAAAGCCCTTCATTAATAAACAAAAAATGGGTTCTAGGTATTTTAAATTTGATTGTTGTTTTTGAAAGTATCATTATATTGCAAGTTTCCAATTTAGAGTTAAAAAATAGTTTTTTTTTTCATTTTGAAAGTTGTGGTTTGTTGCTGATTCTTGAAGCATTATCTAGGTTGGAATTAAAACAAAAAGAGAAAATAGAAGTTTGAGGATTAAGCTATAGTGGGATGCTTGTTGGAAAAAAGGGATAAGTTTTGGAGTACCTGAGTGTTAAAGGTTAGTCCAATGATCCTTGAAGTTGTTTTAGGTTGCTTTCTTTGATCCTTACGCTGATAAAAGATAAAAAAAAATGGTTTTTATTTTTATTTTTGTTTTTTTTTTCTGATGCAAATTTTCATCTTTTTTCATATTTGGCTTTCATATCTCAGAAATTGATCATTTTGATTGGACTTGAATGTTTTCTTAATGTTCTTTTCTTGTGCTTTTAGCCTTACACAAAACAATAATGGGGACTACTTGGTGGCTGTCAATGGTAGAGTGCTGTGAATTTTAAGGGAAGTCAAAGCAATTGGAGTTATTGTTCTTTTAGAATTTATTGCTTTGAATTTTCTTAAAAATATGTTGTTAGTGGGGTTGCTCCACTTTGGAGAATTTAAATACATTCGACATACATAGCTTTGGACAGAGACTCTTATAACCTATCTTCTCTTCAAAGGGAAGTTTCCTCCATGGCTCAAAAGTCATATCATTACCAGCTAACTCTGTTTATAAGTTAATAGAGCCATCCTTTCTTTTCCAAAAATGCTTTTTATAAAGAGTAATCACAGGCTATGTCAAAGACATTGAAGGAAGTAGTTGACTGGCATATTTATGTCTAAAGGAAAAGTATGAGAGGAAGCTTAAGACGCAGAGTAATCTTGATGCATTATCGGGGAAATTGGATCTAAATTTATGGGAAAGTTGACTTCTGATCAAGACCAGTGTACTTGATGAAGCTATTTGCCTTTATCTAAACAATCATCAATTTCATATATTTAAATTTTTGGTTAATGTATTGAAACAATTTAAATGTTATTGTATTACATGTATTTAGAACAAATTATGTATTTAAATGTTTAAATATTTAAAATATTTAGTTTATGAATTTAAATTTATTTTTATTTCTTTTAATATTTTTTATTTAATTATAATAATAAATATTTGAAAAGTAAAAAGGTAAATTTCTTAATTTAGTAGCATTTGTTATGAAAAATGTTACTAAATTACAAAAATTAGCCGCGTTTATGCCCAAAAATACTACTAAATTTAACGACATTTTTGTAGATAAACGTCATTAAATTACAAAAAAAAATGGCATTGGTTTCCAAAAACATCACTAAATTTAATAGCATTTTTATGAAAAAAATGCCACTAAGTTAATGGTATTTTTTTCTAAAATGCCGCTATCTTCCCTTACGTAGGTATAGGCGATGCTTTTAGCAACATTTTTAACAAACACCGTGTGTCATAACGTCTAGATCCGGGGATCTATCGCTAGACATTGACTTAAGGGAGTCGCCACCAATCATTTTTATCTAGGTGCGATTGGCCACCTAAGGAATCTGTCATTTCAGGGAACACCTAAATTTAAAGGTCCCTAAAAGAATAGGTTCGGGTCTGCTAACCAGAACAGAGTTCGGGAGTTCGGTTACGTGTGAGGAAGGTTATAGCACCCTCACAACGCCCATCAAAAGATGGTACCGGCTTAAATTTGTGTTATCCAAAAGTCTTAAAATTTTACCAAGTAATTAATTATTAGAAATTTTTCTCAATTGACTCTAATACTTTTAGCAGAAAATTGAGAAAATTTTCTCACCTCAAGAGTATGCAAGAAAAATTACTGTTTCACTTGCAGAGCCTCTGTCGTCGGATTAATTAAAGAAAAATCAAAATCAAAATCAAAATCAAAATAGAAAGGAAGGAGAGGATGATTGTTCTTGTGTAGGAAAAATTGATACTTTCAACTTTTCCCCAAAAATAATTTTTTTTGAAAATTTACTTTTAAGGAAAATTGATACTTTCAACTTTTCCCTAAAAATATTTTTTTGGAAATTTTGATTTTCAAGGAAAATTGATACTTTCAACTTTTCCCCAAAAATCCCTTTTTTTGAAATTTTATTTTTAAGGAAAATTGATACTTTCAACTTTTTCCTAAAAATATTTTTTTGAAAATTTTGATTTTCAAGGAAAATTGATACTTTCAACTTTTCCTCAAAAATCTTTTTTTTTGAAAATTTATTTTTAAGGAAAATTAATACTTTCAACTTTTCTCTAAAAATATATATTTTTTGAAACTTTGATTAGTATCAATTTTCCTCAAAAATCCTTTTTTTTGAAAATTTATTTTTAAGGAAAATTGATACTTTCAATTTTTCCCTAAAAATTTTTTTTTTTGAAACTTTGATTAGGAAAATTGATACTTTCAACTTTTCCTAAAAAATCTTTTTTTTTTTGAAAATTTATTTTTAAGGAAAATTGATACTTTCAACTTTTCCTCAAAAATATTTTTTTTTGAAACTTTGATTTTCAAGAAAAATTTATACTTTCAACTTTTCCCTAAAAATATTTTTTTTTGGAATTTTTTATTTTTATTTAAAGAAAATAGAATAATAAAAAAAGATAAATAAAAATAAAAATAAATAAAGAAAAGTAAAACAAAAATAAAAATAAA